ATCGAATGTTGTTCCCAATCAGAACCTGAGTTGTTGCAGAATTGGCAGCAGTTACTTGGTGACTCAGTGCACTGTGGGAACTTGAAGTCTGCGTTATATTTGAAGGCTGTAACAAGGCTGAACCTGCTGTTGATGATGAACTTGTATGGACAAGTGCTGTAGGTGTAGTACTACTGAGATGTAAGCCCTTGTACACTCCTGCAAAAGAAAAACAAAACAGTAAGGTCATTTTTCAGAAAATACTCAACTGCAGACAGACATATCTCCACTGTAAAAATCAAGATGCAATCAAATTCTGTCCAACAGCTGAATACCTGAGGCTTGAAGAATGCCATTCACCCCAATTCCAAGCACCACATCATCCTTCATTTTGAATCCCATCAGTTGTTCTGACGTAACCAAAGCTGAAGCAGCAAATTGAGCACTAACAGAATCCAGTGTCTTGGAAACAAAACCCTAAAAAGAACAACGGTGGCAAATACATGTGATTGAGGCTTCCAAAAGTCAGTACTCTCCCCACTTTAAAGCTACACACAAACTAATAAAACAAAAATAAATACATGTAAATCAGACTGTGGCCCAGTCATTCTCTCAGACCAAACTGTCAGCACTTGGTACAACTAGTTAAAATCTGAACAGTGATTTTTTTTCCTCCACATGCATTTTAGCTCCATTGTAACAACGGAGAAGAAAATCCCCACAACTATTTACAATACAAAAGAAACTTATTTCCAAAGTTCTATGGAACAACACTGTTTCACAGGTCAACTTGTTTTCATGAAATTCCAAATCCAATTCAGAGACTCAGAGGTTCAGATTGCAAACAACTTCTGAACCTTTTTATGTGTCTGTCACCACTGCAAACACTACACATTTATGAATATTAAGACACTTCCACAGATGTATGGAGAACATATTTAGTTATTAACCGAAAATCTTGCTCTAAAAATCCCCCACTATCAAGAGGATAATGACTTGGCTGGAGATCTCTGCAATTCGTTATTTCTAAGGCTTCAAAAATTTTATTAATTGACTGACCCATCTTTTTTTTTTTTTTTGTTAAGAGGGAGCAGAGGCAATGCCTGCCACACTCACCTGCAGTGTCCCTTCTAAACACTTTACAGAATGGCTATGATGTAGATTCAGGCGAAAGCCACTTTCCTGTTGGTTAGTTTCAAGGTTCTATGGCAACAGTTGACAATTAGAGATGAACCCTGGTGGGAAACAATGAGGGATAAATCATAGCACAGACAAATCCCTCACCTGTGATGTGTTGGCAGAGGAATTACTATTTGCTTGCTGTTGATGAATTTGTGCAAGCTGCTGTTTCTGCATTAGTGCCAGTTGCTGTTGATGTTGCTGGTATTGTTCGGCTGTAAATGCTGAACAAAATATAAAATGAGAAAATACTATATCAAAATATGTAGGTCTTGTGTATATAAACACATCTATTTTATAATGCTAAAAAAATAAAATAGTAAGACACCACAGCAAGTTCCTTAATGCACCTTTACAGCAAAAAGGCTATCCCAGAAATTTTTGTTCAAATTAAGCCTCCTCTTTTTAAGCTGTTTTTCAGTATATAGGCCTTAACTGTTCTGCTGCATTTAGCTCAAGATACCAAAAAGGGGAGGTGGAAGAAGGAACCAGAACACAATCAAACCCACCCAAAACTCTCTAATAACCAATTAAAAAGAAATTACAGGAAGAAACAGCATCACTGTTTTCACTTTGTGAAACTACAGTAACTGCACTATTACCTAAGTAGGTTTATATGCAAAACTTGGGAACTGCATGCTTTCAGACCTCACAGATAGCATTTTGAAGGTAGCGAATACCCACAATTAAGATTTATGTTTAAGTTTAGCTGAAAACATTAAATTAGGCATGCTTACAACTGTGCAGGCTATCACAATACAGTATTTTTGTTGGTTTTAGATCACACACGTACAAGCAACTCCATCAATACAGAATTTGATAGCACTACAACAGTCTCTCTAAACTCTTTGAAAGGTGACCCAGTAGTCAGTGCATCACAAGTCAACTAGAATTTTATACAGCTAGCCCCCAAGTATAAAATTGATTAAAACCAGCATCATTTGTACAGAATCAGAAGGGGATGTGCCATGGTGCAGGGGTGGGGGGTCATTACTTCATTGATTAACTTTGTAAAATGTGGTGGGTTTTTTTTTTTTTTAGTTTACATTTCCAAAATGAAACAAAGTCTCTGTTTTCAATTTAAAATTGAAGCAAGGCTGGACTACAATTTAGGATACACTTATCAGATTTTTCCTTCAATTTTTTCCTTTGGATTGTACAGATGCTCCCAAGTAAGTACTGTAAATAGTATTCATGCTTCTAGAACACAGCAGCACAAGTTGCAGTTTTGGGGATGTTCACTATCATTTGGCAACAAATCACCACCACACTTGAATCCTGTTCTCAAATTGCAGTTTTTTAATCTTTTTTTTTTTGTTGTTGTTAATCTATTCCTTCAGTCTTGCTTGCCTGAAGAAAATATCTATCAAAACTATAATCATCTCCTGCTCTCAATACAACAGGATTCTGAAAAAGCAACTGTATCTTATGTATAAAATCCAATAGCGAGTCAACACAAACGGCTAGCCAAAGTAAGAATTAGTATTTGGAAACAAACAGAGCAAACACTGCTGAGCATGCATTTTCCCCAGTGTATTTGTGTGGCAGGGTGTTTTGTTTGTTTGTTTTTTTTTTTTTAAAACATTGTTCCAAATCCTTCTATTATGTACTGGAAATAGCACTAATTTATTACCAGCACTTTGCTATCTGAGCACTTGAAGTTACAATTTTTTATTCAGCTGTTAGATTCAAGTTACTTCTTTTTTTTAAAAGTAACATTCTCCAGCAAGCAGGGATATAGCACTTGTTTATATTGCCGTAAGTGACAAATTACTCCCAATATTCTTAGTTAAATCTCACTTCAATTTACTGAATTTCTTCAATGATTTAAAGTTATTTCTACAGGAATAGCTTAGTAGTAACACCATGCATGAATGCCCTTACTAAAAAAGAAAACCAAACTAGAATTCATTGACCAAATATTTATGAGTTGGCTGTTTAAATTTTAATTCTACTTTATATAAACTAGAAGTCCTTTAGATTTTTAAAAACTGTCACCACTCTAACTATCAAAGTTAGAGCAAGAAAGCTTTAGCACACAAAAATTAGCATGTGGAAAGTTGAGCAGCAGAGGGAGAAAAATGGATGTACTGTTCTGGTGCTGATAGGTATTTCATTTATATTAATCAGTTAGTAGTGACTTATTAAAGTAAATGTTTTTTAAAAACACTAAAATTTAGAATTGGTATGGTTTAGCCAACACAGAGCCAATGATACTGAAGGTTCCACATATTAGCAAGGTATTCTATTCTACAGTATGACACTATAAATACATTGCTTGGGAATAGGTTGCATAAGTAATGTAAATAAAGACAACCTGCAAACTGACATAAAGGAAAATGGGCAAAAAAAGGTATGTTATACCACCACCTTTGACTGAATTAAATCAAAGTTTCCATCATCATAACCATCTCACTTTTGTCTGTCTGAGCACGTGAAATTTACTAATAGTTTCAGTTTTCAGGCCCTAAGTATATTTTAGATTTTAGCTATAAAATAGAGTTGTAGTAAGCACAGTTACCTATGTTGGTTTAACCAACTCCAAAATACTGTTTTCTTTTGGAAGAACAGTAAATTAAAGTTTACTGAGGCAAACTGTGTTTGTTTAGGATAGCCATTATTTAGGTCAGTCTTTAAAAAGTGCTCCCCTTCTTCCTGGAAGAGACATTTAGAAGAAATATATTTTTCAAATTGTGCATCAGTATATTCCTTTTTAAGTAGTCTGTGACCCTTACAGCTGTAAGTTTCCCATCACTATGAAAACAGTTACACAGCTGTCAAAGTAAACAAGTGACAGAACCACACCACTATGACCACCATCCTCATCAACAACCCAACTGCTTCTCTTCTGCTCAAATATCTAAACACACTTACAAATACTCCCTTGAAAATGCAATGCGAATGGCTATTTACCTGTCATATCTGAGAATACACAAGAATTTTTTTCAATTTATTTCAGGTTAATTTAGGTTAAAATATTCAGCAACATTTTTGCTGCTTCCCTTCTTAATGGTAAAAGCCTATGGGAGCTGATGAGATGCATCCCACAGTCCTGAGGAAACTGGCTGATGGAATTGCCAAGCCATTCTCGGAGATACTTGAAAAGTCATGGCAGCCAGGTGACGTCACTGGAGACTGGAAAAAGGGAAACATTGCACCCATTTTTAAAAAGGGTAGCAAGGAGGACCTTGGGAACTACTCACCTGTCAGCCTCATTTTTGTGCCTGGGAAGATCATGGAGCAGATCCTCCTAGAAGCTATGCTAAGGCACATGGAGGGCAGTGAGGAGACTTGAGACAGCCAGCATGGCTTCACCAAAGGCAAGTCCTGCCTGACCAACCTATGGACTTCTATGATGGAGTGACCACATCAGTAGCTCTTCCCTTGTCCACTGATGTCATCTATCTGGACTTCTTAGGTCTCTGACATGGTTCCCCACAACATCCTTCCCTCTAAACTGGAGAGGGGCGGACTGTTGGGTGGATGAGGAATTGGTTGAATGGTCACATCCAGAGGGTAGCAGTCAACAGCTCCATGTCCAGATGGGAGATTGGTGATGAACACTGTCCCTCAGGGATCCGTGTTGGGACCAATACTGTTTAACACACTCATCAATGACACAGACAGTGGGATCGAGTGCACCCTCAGCAAGTTTGCAGATGACACCAAGCTGAGGGGTTCAGCTGACACGTCTGAGGGACAGGATGCCATCCAGAGGGACCTGGACAAGCTTGAGGCATGGGCCCGTGTGAACCTCATGAGGTTCAACAAGGCCAAGTACAGGGTCCTGCACCTGGGTTGAGGCAACCCCCGGTATCAACATGGGCTGGGAGATGGAGGGATTGAGAGCAGCCCTGCTGAGGAGGACTTGGGGGTACTAGTGGATGAAAAGTAGGACATGAGCCAGCAACATGTGCTTGCAGCGCAGAAGGGCAGCTATACCCTGGGCTACATCAAAAGCAGTGTGGCCAGCAGGTTGAGGGATGTGATTCTGCCCCTCTGCTCTGGAGAGACCCTACCTGCAGTGCTGCATCAAGCTCCACAGCCCTCAGCATGGGAAAGACATGGACCTGTTGGAGAAGGTCCAGAGGAGGCCACAAAAATGATCAGAGGGATGGAACACCTCTCCTGTGAGGACAGGCTGAGAGAGCTGGGGTTGTTCAGTGTGGAGTAGAGAAGGCTCCAGGGAGACCTTATGGCAGCCTTCCAGTACTTAAAGGGGTCTTGTAAGAGAGATGGGGACAGGGTTTTTAACAGGGCCTGTAGCAACAGGACAAGGGGTAATGGTTTTAAACTGAAAGAGGGCAGATTCAGACTAGATCTAAGGAAGAAATTTTTCACAGTGAAGGTGGTAAAATCCTGGCACAGGTTGTCCAGAGAGGTGGTAGATGACCCACCCCCGGAAACATTCAAGGTCAGGCTGGACCAGGCTCTGAGCAATCTGATCTAGTTGAAGATGTCCCTGCTCATTGTGGGGAGGGGGTGTAGACTGGATGACCTTTGAAGGTCCCTTCCAACCCAAACTAGTCTAAGATTCTATGATTTCAAAATACTATTTACAACTATCAGAGATGTACTGTGAGATTCTGCATTAATCAGTTGCATCCAGTTTAGAAACACAACACCGCCTATAAAGGGCTGCTGTAATCTACAGCCTCTTGAAATAATCTGACTGATATCCCTTTCCATTCCACAGCACATCCAGATATGCTCATATACCAGAAGAGGTTATAGATCGTAATTACATAAGCTAGCTCTTCCCTCTCCATGCTAAAAAGCACTACGGTGAAGGTTTTATTGAAAACATTACTACTACTGAGAACTATCCAAACCAAAATTAATCATTATTCTTTCCTCTCCTGCTCTCAGACTACAGTCTACATTACACTTCAGTTGAAAAAATAAGCCTATTAATTACAAGATTGCTTCTGAAACCTATCATTCCAATGCACAAAAAATGCTTTTATGTACTTTACATGAAAGTACTTCCACCTATTTAACCTTACGTATTCATTTTCTGTGGGACACAACTGTGCCTGGAACTGGGGAAGGCTTTCTGGGGAAATCACACATATACTCAGTACAGTGAAATCACGGGTATACTGTCTGTGCCTCTACATCTGCAGGCACAGTCCTTAACTTCTCAAAGAGCCAGTCTAAGTTTGACTGTCTTTTTTAAAAAAGCAGTTTAAGTAGAATGCACTGCAGACCATAAAAATGTAGC